TATATATTAGTATCAGAAAAATTAGAATGTAGAACAAGGAATAGCATGAGAAACAAAGAAGGATATTCCATAATGAATAAAGGACAATTCATCAAAAAGATGTAACACTTCTAAGTGTGTATGTGCCTAACAACAGATCTTCAAAAATACGTAAAGCAAAACTCAGGGGCCAGCCTCATAGCCTAGTGGTTAAATTCCACGCACTCCACTTTGCTGGCCCTGGCTCAGTTCCCAGGCACAGACCTACACCAGTCAGTGGTGACCCACATACTCAAAATAGAGGAAGATTGGCACAGATGTTAGCTCAGGGTGAATATTCCTCAGCAAAAAAAAAAAAAAAAGAAAACATATAATTAAAAAATAGAAATAGACAAGTGCACAATTATGCTTGGAGATTCATTATTCCTCTTTCAGTAATTGATAGAACAAGTAGTCAGAAAATCAGAAGGATGTAGAAGATCTGAACAATACTATCAACCAACATAACCAATTGAAGTTTTTAGAACTGTCCACCCAACAACAGCAGAAGACACATTCCTTTCAAGTGTGCATGGAACATTCTTTAAGAGAAACCATATTATGGCTGGACTATAAAACAAACTTTAAAAAATTTAAAACAATTGAAGTCATGCAAAGTGTGTTCTCTAATCATAACCAAACTAAAAAGTTAATAACAAAGATATCTGGAAATTCTTAAATATTTTAAATTAAACAATAAAAAATGGAAAATAGGAAATATTTTTAACTGAATGACAGTTAAAATACACCCAATGTCACTGTAGTTTTTATTTGCATTTCTCATATAATTAATGATGTTGAGCATCTTTTCATATACCTCTTGATCATTTGTATGTCTTATTCAGAGAAATGTCTGTTCAAGCCCTTTGCCATTTTTTTTCCTGAGGAAGATTAGCCCTGAGCTAACACCTGTGCCAATCTTCCTATATTTTAAATGTGGGTCGCTGCATCAGCATGAATGACAAGTGTTGTAGGTTTGCCCTGGGGATCCGAACCATGAAACCAGGCCTCCAAGCAGAGAACACCAAACGTAACCACTACGCCATGGGGCTGGCCCCGCCCATTTTTTAATTGAGTAATTAGATTTTTTTGCTATTGACTTGTAGGAGTTCCTTATATATTTTGGAAATTATTAACCCCTTATCAGATATATAGTTTTAAATATTTTCCCCCATTAGTTTGCTTTTTCATTTTGTTGATGATTTCCTTTCCTGTGCAGAAGATTTTTAGTTTGATGTAGTCCCACTTTAGTTTTGCTTTTATTGCCTATACTTTTGGTGACATATCTGAGAAATCATTGCTAAGACCAATGTCCAGAAGATTTTTCCCTACGTTGTCTTCTAGGAGTTTTGCAGTTTCAATCTTATGTTTAAGTCTTTAATCTATTTTGAGTTAATTTTTGTGTATGGTGTTTACACCTGTTCGAATGACTATTATTAAAAAACCAAAAGATAACAGATGTTGGCAAGGTTGCAGAGAAATTGGAAACCCTGTGGTCTCAGGAGAATACATATTATATGATTCCATTTATATGATGTTCAATAAAAGTCAAAATTAATGGAAGAGATTAGCAGTTGCCAGGGGCTGGCCTGGCTGGAGGGATGGATTACAAAGAAGTAGCACAAGGAAAAATTTTTTGGAGTGATGGAACTGTTCTGTATCTTGATTGTGGCAACTGTTTTATGACCATATATGTTTGTCTTAACTCATAAAACTGTGCACCAAAAAGAGTGAACTTTACTGTACGTAAACTTAAAAGTGTATAATAATGAAAAAAAAGGAGACTGTTAATAGAGACATGTTGGCCCAGATACAGATATTCAAGGTGTTATATTAACCTAGGCTCAATTCTTTGTAAACAAACAATGACAACAAAAACATCAATGGCTTACCCCAAAATTAAATTTTTGATGTTGGAAAGGGTGTGTTATATTTGGATTGGTGATGATTTTATGGACTCATCCCATTTTTAAAATCAAGTTTTTCAAGAATGAATACTTATGAGTAAAGTTTTTTGGTACTTTTGAAGTGATTTAACCAGTTAAGACATTATTTGGTCATTATTAGAGCTGGTTTTAAGTATTACGTTAGATATATAAGAACAATGTATATAGGAATTTATGTGAAATATTCCCTTGTGAAAATATAACCTTAACTATCTGAAACTTCTAAGGAGGCAGTCATTCCTAGAAGGTGTATTTTTCAAGTACTTCCGAAGCAATAAATCTAAAATATTTTACTCATTGCTTTGCTCGTTTGAATAGAACATACTGAGCATAATTTAATCTTCTCTCAATGGCTCTGTGCCCTCATTAAAACATGGAATTCTAAAGTTTAGAGCAACCTGAGAAATCTCATACCAGAATATGATAGATAGACTGAAGGGCCTAGTTATACTTAAAACTATAATTATATTACACCTGTAACATGCTTTACAACTTAAGAACAATGAGTTCACATATCCTAAATTATTTGTAGCAATTCAGACTGGTAGGTAATCAAGTTATATAATCCAGCATTTTACAGACTAGGAAATGGATGCTCATAAAAATTAAGTGATTTACCCAATAGTCCACAGTGGAGCTGAGGATAGGACACAGGTTATCTTATTCCTATGGGCTGGCGTGTGCTTAGTGGGTGGTACAATGCAAAGAGTATTAGACTAGGAAATCTTAAGGGAAAAGCTAAATGACTCGTTATTTCAGTATTTAATCCCCTGACTCAATTACCCTCCCTACTGCAACACAACAGATCTCAATTTCCATGAAACTGTCATTTTATCTTACACGTAAATAAGAACCCAACTTTTAAAATGAAGGTTTTTTACAATTCTTCCTGATTTTTGTACAAACTATTAAGAGCTTTGGCTTTGCAGCCATTCAATATCTTGCCACTTAATAGACCAAGATAACTAAAGTGAGTGTAGATAATGACAAGATATCTAGCTTACAAAAGTTTATCTAGTTGTTGTAGTAAAGAATGAACTTTCTACCATTTGAAGGAAAAATAGTAGATCACTTGAGCAAAGTGGCCTTCCTGCTATTACTGGTGAATTTAAGGAAAAAACCAAAAAGGTCACAGCATTGTCTACTGTCAGAGTTGTTGACACTAGAAATCTGTTTGGTACTTGTCACCTATATTTGGCTATTGGTATCAGTGGGGAAGGACCTGCTCTGCTTTTTAAGGTTCCTATCATACTTGGGTAAGTGTAACAGTTATAGCCAGCCATGAGGAAAACATTCCTATATTATTAGGGCAGGTATCATCACACTTGGGGATCATCCATATCTGGCACTCTGTGCTTTTTGTGGTAACTACAGCCCTGCAGCAAAGGATCAGAGCCGTTAGCCTGATTATGCATTGGTGAATTGACGTTTTCCACTCTCCTCAGAATTCATTCCAAAGTATCTTGCTTCTAAATCCACACCAGATGAGGTATTTCAGGTATTTGAGCTTCATCTTCTGACTCCTCTCTTAACTGTAGCTGAACCATTTAGAAAAAGGAACCTGCTCTGAAATCTGGCGGCCATGATAGTAAATATTGATTCGATGCATACTGTCCCTACCCACTGACCCAAATGTCTTTGAAAATTTGGTCAGGTTGCAGATAAGAGGTTTTTCTTTCCACGTTGGTGTATTTGAATGAGATTCCCCTTCAGAAAGCTAGTGAAGTTATTTGTTTCTGAATGTTCCGGGGAGAAACTCTACTCTCATTTTTTCTCTGCCCTCTTGAAACCACATCTGATTTTCTCTAATCAGATTTCTTAAAATTAGATAGATATTTGTGTAGGCATGAAAGAAAGTCAAGTTGTACAAATTGCAATGTTTGGCTATATGGCTGTTTTTGATTTCTTTATGAGACTGCTTTATGGTTCAAAATATTCAGAGAAAGGAAAATTATTTTTTATTTCCATGTCACTGTACTTGTTTATTTCCATACCCAGTATACTAGAATGATTTCTGTTTGGTTTGGTTTTATAGCGTTTATGTTGTTGCTGTTTTCCCAATTTTGAAGAGACACTTTACTTGGGAAGGATTTTCTTTCTGTCTGTCAAGTTTTAGGAGTAACAATTTCGGTGTCACAGCTTTCTACAAGAACCTGAAATTGACTTAATCTAATTACAAGAGTTCTTCTTTATAAAATGCACTACTAGAATTCATCTTTTTAAAAAGAGTTTGACCTACCTTTTATTTGTGAGATTCACAGAGTTGTTTTCTCTTAATATTAAACATCTTGCCTATTTGCAGGAAGGATAAAATGTTTATTTAATTTCTCTTGTCTGATTATGATAGTGTCAATTTAATTAAAAGGTACATAGTTTTTACATGGTTTATTTTTAGTAAAATATACATGATTTTGAATTTTGATTTATATACTATAGCTATTAAAATAATTATTACGGTTAGTATTGCCTAAAGCAAAGAAATTTTCACAGTCACTAAGCCTTCTTGTTTATTTTCAAGCTTTAAAGAGAGGTTTGTTTTAGTATGTAAAAAGAACCCCTTTATCCCAGAAAGAGGAAAAATAAAAGCACCCTTTTGTTCCACAGCACAGCTTTTTGCTGTAAGACATATGCCAGATGTCTTCCTTGACAAAGAACAGTGAGTGTCCCTGTTGATAATTGACCACGTATGGCTACCACCATCTCTGCCTTTATTAGCCATAAATATTTATTTCAGTGAAAGAATCTTTTTTTTCCCCATGCACTGACACTAGCCAGATAAGGGCTTTCCTCTTTTTTTGTCTTTAAAGTTGGTACTTTTTTCTGAACAAATTCAATAGGTGTTCGCAATATGTATAATTTTCAGTGAGAACCTGTCTCCCTTTAGCACACAAATTATTGCCCGTTACCAAGATTAATTCACTTAAAGAAATCTTGCAGCTTGGAAGCACTGAAATTGTGTCAAAAAACAAAAGTGTGCAGATTCTACACATACACAATTTTTATTCCAATTTTCAGAATATCTTCTTTTATTTTTAGATGAATCTACGTTCTGTATTTACTGTAGAACAACAAAGGATTTTACAGCGTTATTATGAAAATGGAATGACAAATCAAAGTAAAAATTGCTTTCAGCTCATATTACAGTGTGCACAGGAGACTAAGCTGGACTTCAGTGTAGTCAGGGTAAGTATTGAGGTCTTACACTCTCGAATTTATAGCTGTTTATTACAACTGATAATTGCTTAATATGAGAAAAACTATCAGGGTATGAAGTCACTAACTTTGTAAACAGCTTCATTTCCCTGGTATAAAAATATATATTTTTTAAAAATAGAGCTTATCATTTAGTATGTATTTGTTTGTATAAATACCTTGGAAACACTAAAGCTTTTACATTGTAAACATATCTTTAAAACATCCCAGTCCTTTGAACTAATGAGTTCTTTTAAGATTAGTTGTTGATCTCATGCTTTCTTTAAACCTAGACTATATCTAGATATAACTCTCCAAAATGATTTCAGGAAAACATGCATTTACAGAGGGATTGTTGTGTACCCAGCATATTTTCTTGTTGTATTTGAATTTTTTCATCAGGCATTTATGACTTTAGTATTTTTGTCTTTTTAAGAAAACCTAGCGTTTTTTTAATGAATACTTCCTCCTCCTTCTAAGTGAAGTTCGTACATTTTAATGGGTTAGTGAGTAAGGGACAAGAAATCCCAAGGGAGGAAATTTTCCTTTATTACAACCATAGTCATTCAGCTGTAAAAATCAGAGCTGCTATATGTTTGTGACAGGCAATGAGAAGATAATAGAGAGGAGGCAAGAGATAAATCTAACAGAACTAGTCACAGGTTTTATTGAGTGCGTAGAACCTTTCATGTTTGTCTGAACATGCTGCAAATCCTCCTGGCATGAAACCTTAGAGATTCAAAGATTAGCAACTTTCTCATCCTTGTCATTCATTAAGCTAATTTGGAAAAGAGAAAGGACGTCTGTTTTTAACTTTATTCTTCTGTTGGAGGAACTTTCAAAGACCCTAAAGATAAAAATCTCTTGATAAGCAGAACTCTTAGGAAAATCTATTTTTTAAAGACTAAAAGATATATTCACCTTCACAAAGGGAATTATGCCACCAATTCTAGGGGGGAAATATCTAGGATATCTGTTTCTTATTTGCTGATCCATCATATTCAGATTTGTGTAAGAACTAGAAATATCTCCTATTGGTAGCTCTAAATTCCCTATTTGAAATACCTTTAGTAAACCTCAGAGAAAAATGTTTAATTGCCTTAGAAAAAATAATATAAACATGTGCTGTTTCAAGTTGATGAGATTTAATTCTGTAAGTATAAATTGGTTTTGGTTTTTCCTGCAATAATTTTTCCCCCTATATTTTACGATTACTTTAAAGTGAAAAGCCTTCTCAGGCAGCTGCTTTGTGGACTGTGACCTTTTATATTTCCAACTTGTAATTACAATCTTCCCTTAATAACTTACTTGCTTGTACTTGAATATTGAGAGTGCTGAAATACAAGGGTTTGTATTTATGCTCCACATGGTGTGAAATCTAAAACAATGAGAATGAAAGAAATAAATGTCTAGAATGCAAGCTTACAAGTAAAATGTTATGTAAGGTATAAAGACTTGTGTAAAACAGATTCATTCTCTCTGTTCTAGGAGAGTGTAAATTGTACAGAAATTCAGTCTTCCTAATCTAAATTCCAACACAATTTTAGTGGTTTTTCCAGTCAGAGGAGAAGGGACCTGTTTATAGACTCATTAGTCCACAACCTCCCCAGACCCCAATATTTGTTAGGTCTATATGTTCTACTTGAAAGAGACTTTTTCTTTGTTATTTTTAATATAGCATTTTTTTGGTGTTTTTCCTCAAAAGAACTTAAATTCCACTGTGCTAAGAACTTGATCCCAATGTGAAAAGAAGTTAAAATGTAAAAATATCCATGCAAAAATAAATATAGTGGGGTAAAGGAATAGAAAAACAAAGAAGGAGGTATAGAAAAAGGAAAAGAGATTTGGAGACAGTGAATTTCTAAGGGAGAACTGAAAGAATTTTATGCACATTGATGGATTGGTGACCCAAATGTCTTTCTTTTCTTTTTTTTATGTAGTATCGCTTTGTTTCTAAACCCCAAATTTTCGTCATATCAATTTTGTTTGACCCATTTTTTTTCTCTCTTACCAATGAGGCATTTGGAATAAGAATCATTTATATCCTATAAGCATTGGTAAATTTTAGATCCTGTAACTGAATGACTTTTAGTAAAATTTAATTCAGTTATCGGGAACCCTCAGGCAATCAATTTTCTTTATTTTCAACGTTATAAATGGAAAATATTTCTTAAATGTGTACTTTCCTACTTTACTTCATTAGAGAATATTGAAAATAATTGAACCCTTACTTTTTAACTGAGAGTTTCATGATGGAAATCAGTTTTTGTACTGTGCATACAATAAAATAATAATTCTGAGGCCGGCCTGGTGGCCAGCGGTTAAGTGCACACGTTCCGCTCTGGTGGCCTGGGGTTCGCCGGTTCGGATCCCAGGTGTGGACATGGCACCACTTGGCAAGCCATGCTGTGGCAGGCATTCCACATATAAAGTAGAGGAAGATGGGCACGATGTTAGCTCAGGGCCAGTCTTCCTCAGCAAAAGGAGGAGGATTGGCGGCGGATGTTAACTCAGGGCTAATCTTCCTCAAAAAACAAAAATAATAATGCTTACGACATGGTAAGCTGTATGAGGTGATTTTCTCCTTTACAAAAAACCCCAGACTATTTAATGATCTCTCACATCGAATCTCTTTTTCCTTTCTTCTTTTGAGTGAGCAATATTTAGTGAACATTCTTAGTTTTGGTGCCATCAAGGTGCCTCCAACAGCAATCTCTAGCACCAATGGCCCTCCTGTTTTGTTATTTCTAATTTTTTATAGATTAGATACCAGATTTGGTAAAATTATGTATAAAATAAGAGAAAGTGTGTTTTAAGGCCAAGGGTTGTACTTTTAGTAAAGTACATGGATCTTGTGACATCTATCTTGGCTGTGTTCTGAACAAGTAAGGTTGTTAGATTGCTGAGTTTCATATGCACGTGATATTCTACTGTGTTTTACTGTTTGATGGGTACATAATACAATTATCTAGTCAACTATATAAGCAGCTATATGTATATATATATATATTTATATGTATATGTATATACGAACTATAAAACTATAGAAGTAAACCATAAATTTTCAGTGCACTAAGATCACCCTTAGACTTTCTGTGGTAAGGTAGGTATTGTGATGAGAACACGGTAGGTGGTTTGTTTTCTTAGAAATATTGCCCAGAGCTGCCCTCCAGATGTAGTAGTTCTTGAGTTCAAATTTTACCAATTCACCATGCTTTCCCATTGAAAGCTTTTAAATGTAATGCTTATATATTTTTGTAAAAATTATGAACAAATGCATCATGCTTCCTATGCATATCTTTCATACTTAAAAGCCATAACACAGTAACTTATTTTGAATATTTGTAAAATTTACCTTTTTGAACCATACATTGAAATTATATTTATCCAAAAACATTTTAAATATTTCTCTTGAGCATATACTATAAAACCTTTTAGTTTTTCTCCCCTGCTTCCTTCTCCTGTGCCAGTTTTATTCATTTGTCCCTCTCCTTGAAATTCTCATCTCTGCTACTTAGTAAAACTAAATCACAGTGAGTTTAAAATTCCCACGGCCTCATGTGAAGCAAAATGGAGCATCTCAGTTTATGGAACATTTCCTTTTTTTTTTTTTTGAGGAAGCCTGGCCCTGAGCTAACATTGGTGCCCATCTTCCTCTACTTTATACGTGGGATGCCTACCGCAGCATGGCGTGCCAAGCAGTGCCATGTCTGCACCCAGGATCCAAACCGGTGAACCCTGGGCCGCCAGGAAGCAGAACGTGCAAACTTAACTGCTGCACCACCGGGCCGGCCCCAGAACATTTGTTTATTTGAGAAATGCTAATTATAAAATTAAAATGGCAAACAGAGATGACCATTTCAGGAGTTTCTAACCATAGTGGAAGGAGAATGTACTTTGAGGGCCAGTAAAATTGATTTTTAAATTTTTTTGTGAGGAAGAATGGCCCTTAGCTAACATCTGTTGCCGGTCTTCCTTGAGGAAGACTGTGTTGAGCTAACATCTGTGCCAATCTTCCTCTACTTTATGTGGGATGCCACCACAGCGGTTTGTTGAGCGGTGCTAGGTCCACACCCAGAATTTGAACCTGCAAACCCCGGGCCATGGAAGCGGAGCAGGCAGACTCAGTCACTACACCACCAGCCGGCCCAGTAAAATTGATTTTGAATCCTTCCTCTGCTACTCACTGGCAGGGTATGCTTCCAAAAGCTGCTTAATATTTCTGAACATCGGTTGCATTATTTATACAATTAGAAAAATATCACCTCGCAAAGGAGCTAATTTATATAAAAGCACATAAGGGGGATTCAACACATGTTAGCTTTTATTTATAGTATTACAGAAACGTTAATGTTGTATATAGTATAAATAGATATTGAAAATTGAATAATTTATGTGGTCTTCAAAAACACACACCAAATACACCCAGCACCGTATTTGTACAAGGCTAGATTAATGTGTGTTGGTAGTTTATAATATGGGAAGAATTTTGAAATAATTATAAAGTTTACTAATCACATTAGCAAATATTTTTTATTGTTTTTTAAGAAGAATCATGACTCAATGTAAAAATACTAAAATTATCATAGTAAATTACTTATAAAAAGTACATATTTTGTAGTCAAATTCTAAGTGCCAACCACTGATATTATTTTATTAATAGTATTTTTTCTGTTTATAAAAGAAATACATATTCATTATATAAAATTCAGTAAATAGAGAAAAGTGTAAAGAAGAAAATTAATTTACCATAAATTAATGACAAACTGGAGAAAACATTTGCAACTTGTGACAAAGTGTTGCTATCTCTAGTAGAAAATTACTCCTATAAATCAATTTAAAAAGACAAATATCCCAGTATGAAAATGAGTAAAGGTAACGGATAAGTAATTCTATCAAAGTAATATAGTAACCATAGAAATTCAAATCAAAACAGCAATTATATGCCTTTTATTAACTTCTGGCCTAGTAAAGACCACGAAAAGATAAGGCAAAGCGTTGGTGAGTGTATGGTGAAACCCGCACTCTTAAACATTGGAGGGTAGTTTGAAAATCTCAAAAAACCTAGCAATTTCCCTTCTAGGATAGCATTCTAACAGACCAATGACACAAAGATGCATGTATAATGATGTGTATTGCAGTATGGTTTATAATAGCGAATATTTATAACAATAATCTAAATATCTAGCAATATTAAATTGACCAAGTTATGATATATTCATAGAACAGAATTTGTTACATCTGAAAATTGCAAGTGTGTATTTGTTTAACAATAGGATCATGCATCTCTTAATGACAGAGATACCTTTCTGAGAAATGATTCGTTAGGCAATTTCATCGTGAGAACATCATAAAGTGCACTTATATAAAACCTAGATGGTATAGCCTACTACACACCAAGGGTATATGATATTAATCGTATGGAACCACCATCGTATATTTGGTCCGTTGTTGACTGAAACATTTTTATGCAGTGCATGACTGTCCTATGAGCATTTTCCAATATCACTAAATATCCTACCTTTAGTGTGCTTCCAACTTTTCACTATTATGAATTAATATATGATGAACATCATTGCATATAAACTTTGTATACATCTATGATTATTTTTTAGGATCAATTCCCAGAAGTAGATTTACTAGGTCAAGGGATATAAATATTTTTAGAGCTCTTGCTACAGATTAATTGCATGGGTTTTGAGGTGGAGAGGAGCAATAATACAATTCTGTTATCAAGTTCCTACATATTTATGAAGTGCAAGTCCTGATCATCTCTGACTTTATACCTTAGTTTACTTTTTCTCTTATTGAATCTTTTGCCCTTTAAATTTGTATAGGCCTTGGTTCTATGACAAATGAGAATACAATTTATCACAGAGAAATTATTTTTTCTTTTTTTGTTAAGAACTTTTCCATAATATCATTTTTTATTCTTCCAGACGTGGGTTGGCAATAAGAGAAGAAAAATGAGTAGTAAGAATTCTGAATCAGGAGCAGCAACAACAGGAACTGTTTCCAGTACCTCTTTGGCAGCTCCAGACATTACAGTCAGAAATGTGGTTAATATTGCTCGACCTTCAAGCCAACAGTCTTCTTGGACATCTGCCAATAATGATGTCATTGTAACTGGTATATACAGTCCGGCCAGTTCATCAAGCAGGCAAGGGACAACCAAACATACAAATACACAAATTACAGAAGCACATAAAATCCCTGTTCAGAAAACGGCCAGTAAAAATGATACTGAGTTTCAGTTGCATATTCCTGTTCAAAGACAAGTAGCACACTGTAAAAATGCCTCTCTGCTCTTAGGTGAAAAAACAATTATTTTGTCAAGGCAGACAAGTGTGCTAAATGCTGGAAACTCAGTATACAATCACACAAAGAAAAACTACGGAGGCTCTTCAATGCAAGCCTCTGAGATGACAGTACCTCAAAAGCCATCTGTGTGCCACCGACCTTGCAAAATTGAACCAGTTGGAATTCAAAGATTATATAAGCCTGAACACACGGGTTTAGCATCACATAATTTATGTGGGCAAAAGCCACCTATTAGAGATCCTTACTGTCGAACGCAAAACTTGGAAATTCGTGAAGTATTTTCATTGGCAGTTAGTGATTACCCCCAGAGAATTCTGAGAGGAAATGTCCCACAGAAGCCTAGTTCAGCAGAAGGAACTTGTTTGTCCATTGCAATGGAGACTGGAGATGCTGATGATGAGTATGCCAGAGAGGAAGAGTTGGCATTGATGGGAGCACAGACACCAAGCTACTCAAGATTTTATGAAAGTGGCAGTTCCCTTCGAGCTGAGAACCAAAGTACAGCTTTGCCCGGACCAGGAAGAAGTATGCCAAATTCACAAATGGTGAATATTAGAGACTTGTCAGACAATGTACTGTATCAAAATAGAGACTACCATTTAACACCACGGACCTCATTACATACCGCATCTACTACAATGTACAGAAATACAAATCCATCACGGAGTAATTTTTCTTCACATTTTGCATCATCAAACCAATTGAGGTTGTCACAAAACCAAAACAATTACCAGGTAATGTGTAATTTATTTTATAAATGTTTTTAAAAAGCTTTGTTTCATGTAAAAATCTGTGTTGGTATCCAGTTAGACTTGAGATCCGGGTCACTTAACTCATATTTTGAAATAATTTGAGATTTTGAGTAATTTGAAGTACCCTGTGCTTTCTTTGTCATTTTTTTTTTATAGAATATAATCATTTTTATAACATGGTAGCTTTCTCCTGACATTTAAAATGATTTTGTTCAGGAAACAGTAGCCTTATGGGAAGCATGGCATTTCCCATCACTAAAATAGGACTAAATTGGTTTGACTCATCCCTTCAAACACAGGTTATTCCTGTAATGATTTTTGCTTGCACTTTGGGGAGATGTCACTAGATGATTGGTGCTTTCCCTGGGTACATAGCCAGGCAAGTCAATTATTTCTTTAGGTGACGATGGCTGAGAAGTCAGAGCCTGCATAACTCAGCCAATTGCTTTTTCTAAAAGTAAATGCTTTATTAAAACATTAAGTGGAGCATTAATCAAATCGTCTTTTTAAAAATGTTTACAAGGAAGAGACTTATTCAGAGTAAGAATTAAAGCAATTTTAGATCTGTACAAAAATAAGTGTTATTTCGTTACTGTTTCACATATTCAATTGTTTATATATGCTTCAAATAATCTCGATGTCGAGGTATAAGCCTACCTCAGAACATCTGTTAAGGCCATAGATCTTCTCTTTCAAAATTCTGCTTCAGAGAATTTGAATAGCAGGGCATAGATGTTTGCCCTTTTTTCTTGCAACTGGCTAGACCCTTTAATTTGTTCAACCACAGTATTTAAGTTTTATCTGGATTTCAGATGCTTCCAGTCTTCTCAACCAATATAAAGACCCAACTTCTCTTAACTCTATCTTATAGCTCCCTGCTTCAAAATAAAACGCAGTAACAGAGTATAGGAAGTATGCGTCTGGCATCTATCCCTAACAGAAGAGGACTACATCATCATCATTAGTCATTTTTTACTGAAAATCTACACATTTTTCTGTGTTTGCTCTTTCTTAAGGCATGCTTAAAGTAACATTGAATCATACCATTAAGATTTTCCCCAACACTCCCTTTCATTCACTTGCTCTTTTGTGCTTCTTTACCATTTCAGTGTTGTTCTAAATAATAGTAATAACAATAACATTTACCATTTGTTAATAGCCTTCCACATACCAGGCACCTTCAATCACTTTATATGCCTGGTCTCCTTTAATCTTCATGGTGATCTGGACATACAGTAGTCCCCCCTTATCTTTGGTTTTGCTTTTTGCGGTTTCAGTTACTCCTGGTCAACCACAGTCCAAAAATATTAAATAGAAAGTTCCAGAAATAAACAATTTATAAGTTTTAAATTGCATGCTGTTCTGAGTAGCATGATAAAATCTCACTCCATCCCACTCTGTCGCACCCGGGAGGTGAGTCATCCCTTTGTCTAGCATATCCTTGTTGTATATGCTACCCGACGGTTAGTCACTTAGTAGCCGTCTCAGTTATCAGATCGACTGTCATGGTATTGCAGTGCTTGTTTTGAAGTAACCCTTATTTTACTTAATAAAGGCCCCAAAGCACAAGAGTAGTGATGCTGGCAATTCCGATATCACAAAGAGAAGCTGTAAAGTGCCTCCTTTAGTTGAAAAGGTGAAAGTTCTTGACTTAATAAGGAAAGAAAAAAAGTTGTATACTGGGGATGCTAAGACCTATGGTAACTTTTATTACAGTATATTGTTATAATTGTTCTATTTTATTATTAGTTAATGTCTTACTGTGCTTAATTTATAAATTAAACTTTATCATAGGTATGTACGTACTATATGAAAAAACATAGTATATATAGGGTTTGGTACTATCCACAGTTTCAGGCGTCTGCTGAGGGTCTTGGAATGCTTCTCTGATGGATAAAGGAAAACTACTATATAGGCATTTTATCCATATTTTAATAACTTGTCCAGGATCACACAGACTGTGCATGAAAGGACCAGGATTCCGACTCAGAAATATATTACGTGTTTTTTTTTCTGCTTTACCATATAGCCATATTAAAATATTTGAAGGCCTAAGAATGCAGAGTTTAATTTTTAATTTTTCGTAAGCTGACCACTCCCTTGAGGATAATCTGTGGTTTTACTTTTTTAGAGCCTCTGTTTTCCTGACAGAATGGCTTTTTTTTTTTTTTAGTAAGATTAGCCCTGAGCTAACATCTGCTGCCAATCCTCTTTTTGCTGAGGAAGACTGGCCCTGAGCTAATGTCCGTGCCCGTCTTCCTCTATTTTATGTGGGACGCCTGCCACAGCATGGCTTAACAAGCAGTGCATAGGTCCACACCAGGGACCTGAACTGGTGAACCCCAGCCCACAGAAGCCAAACGTGCGAACTTTAACTGCTGCACCACCAGGCTGGCCCCCGATAGAACTTTTAAAAGAATTAAATTTCTTTTATATAAAAGAACCTTTTAAATGGAATAAAACTTAGCAACTTTTTTTTGAATAGTAATCTCTTTAAAGAAAAGCAGTCTGACATAACAACTTAGAGCATGGGCTTAGAGTCTGACAGATCTGGATTCAAATCTAGGCTCTGCCACTTTCTACTTGAATGACCTTAGGCAAGTGGCATCACCTCCCTGTGTAACAGTTTCCTCATTTGTATAATGTCATTAATGCTGTGACATAAAATGACAAAAAGGTTCTTTGTACATTCCCTGGCACATAAACTTTCTTTTACTTATAGCTTCATAGTTGGATAGTTAATGAAACTCTGCCTATCCAGGTCTTCTATGCATTTCATTTCAAGTAAAATATTACAGAACTCACAATTATCACAGGTTAGTTGAGGAAGAAATAGCTGTAGTGCTGGCTGAGGGAAGACTGGAGATCAGCTATCAACCACACCGCAATCTATGCATTAAAAACCCATGTACTGCTATTTATATTACAGCTAACCTCCTCCAGCTTGACCTGAGACAGTATGGTAGAGAGTGTTTGCAGAGAACCCTTAGGGGCATCACCTTGCCCCACTTTCTCTTAATTGGTTGAGATTTGGGGGAACCAAGGCAGCCTTGGGAAGTGTAGTCCTTGAAGATTAATGCCTTAGTCCATTTGGGCTGCTATAACCAAAATACCATAAACTGGGTAGGTTAAACAACAAACATTTATTTCTCATAGTTCTGGAGACGGGGAACCCAAAGATCAAAGTGCTGGCAGAATCCATGTCTGGTGAAGGCCTGCTTCCTAATTCATAGATGGCTGTCTTCTCACTCTGTCCTCATATGGCAGAAGGGGCAAGAGAGCTCTCTGGGGTCTCTTTTGTAACGGCACTAATCTCATTCATGAGGGCTCCATACTCATGACCTAATCACCTCCTAAAAGCCCCATCTCCAAATACCATCGCAATGGGGGTTAAGTTTCAACATTTGAATTCAGCTGGGATACAAATATTCAGTCCATGGTAGTTATCCTCCAAGATTTTGATGCAGCTCTATTACCAAGCTGTATTACTGTTAGATCAGGACTTTGAAAAATAAAATCTTCGGCCATTTGGCAACTTTCTAGCTATGAAACTATAGGCAAGCAAGTAATTCTCTTTAGATTCTGACCCTGGGACTATATAACACAAATATCTGCTGCTTCTTTCTGTTACACCAGGTATCTTCAAGCTGAGGTCCTATTCCTGGAGGATAGTCTAGTTCCAAGCTATCTAGGAGAATGAGTACAAATTCAGGAAATCCTAGAGGAAGCTAAGAAGTTGAAATCAGCTCTGTTTTGGAGCCACTTGGCAATACCATATTAAGGGTTGAAGTGGTCAGTAGGTGGCTATACCAGGATGCTGTAGCTCAGTTCTATTTCAAAAACTCTCCAGGCTAACCTCACTCCTTTGAGTAATATTGTAACCATATTGGTCACTAAAGTGCCATTCACTTTTCATATTATCTCTACATCAGTCCTATTTATCATGAGTGCTGTGATGATTAAGGATTAATAATTGATGATCATCTTTAAAAAGATATTAGAGGATTTTGGAAGACAAGTGCTATAAATAAAGAATTTTTGTTGGAATTATTATTATGTTTTTATTGAGGTTACATTGGTTTATAACATTATGTAAATTTCAGGTGTATATCATTATCTTTAGATTTCTGGGTAGATTACATTATGTTCACCACCCAAAGACTAATTACCATCCATCAACATACGCATGTGTCCAGTCACCCCTTTGCCCTTACCCTTTCTCTCTGGTAACCAACAATCTAATCTCTGTATCTATGTTTGCTGTTGTTGTCATTGTTTTTATCTTCTATTTATGAATGAGATCACATAGTACTTGACTTTCCCCATCTGCCTTATTTCACTTAGCATAATACCCTCAAGTTCAATCCATGTCATTGCAAATGGCAAAATTTCCTCTTTTTTATGGCTGAGGAGTATTCCATTGTGTAAATATACCACACTTTCTTTATCCATTCATCCCTTGATGGGCACTTAGGTTTTTCCAAGACTTGGCTATTGTGAATCACGCCACAATGAACATAAGGGTGCATATATCTTTACACATTCATGTTTTCATGTTCTTTGGATAAATACCCAGCAGTAGAATAGCTGGATCTCATGGTAGTTCTATTCTTCATTTTTAGAGTAATCTCCATACTGTTTTCCAAAGCGGCTGCACCAGTTTGCATTCCAACCAGCTCTGTATGAGAGTTCCCTTTTCCCCACATCCTCTCCAACACTTATTATTTCTTGTGTTGCTAATTATAGCCATTCTGACAGGCATGAGGCAATATCTCATTGTAGTTTTGATTTGCATTTCCTTAATAATTCCTCATATTGAACATCTTTTCTTGTGCCTGTTGGCCATCTGTATCTCTTTGGATACATGTCTGTTCAGATCTTTTCCCATTTTTTAATTGGTTGTTGGTTTTTTTGTTGTTGAGATGTATGAGTTCTTTATATATTTTGGATATTAACCCCTTATCACATATGTGGTTTGCAAA